GGGTGGAACAGTTAGCAAGCTTAGCATGATCGTCTGTTGACCTTCAGCCTCGGGTGGAGAGGAGCTGACTGCTGCGCTGCTCTCTCTCTCTCTCTCTCTCTCTCTCTGTGCAGCTGCAGCCCGAACCGGACCGAACTTCAGTCAAACATGACCAAACTCTTTTATTTCTGATTTAAACTAGCGATCTTGTGAGCAGCTGTATGCTTTTATTTTTTTCTGTCAGGCTGTCGGAGCGCTCCACCTCCTCTGTCCGGGGCTGGTGTGGTATGAGGCGGACAGAGCTCAGCCGAGGCTGCTGAAGCTTCATGTCCTGATCCACGGAGCCAACATGAGTCAGTCCCAGACTGAGCTGACTTGATCAAGTCTCTCTCTGCCTCTGGTGAGGAGGAGGGTGAAAAATKCTCCACCTCAGACCGTTTAGAGATGTAACTATCTGTGATACTGTGGTCACTCTCCATGTAGCATCAATTATGCTAATGCTAGCTGCCTGTCACGTTCTCTCYTCCTGGCCACACCTCTGCTCTCTAACCCCACCCCTCCTCTACCCACTTTGATGCATTTTTCAAATTTCGCCTTGGGGCGGAGTTATCTTTTCACAGAGGGGTAAGAAACACTTTAAGTAGTTTTCTCATCAGTGACATTTATTTTTACCAAAGTCATTTTCTGTTAAGGTATTTTTGCTTTTACTTAGTTTTTTTTTTTTTCAAGTACTTTATAGACCTCTGACTGAAACATATTCAGTTTATAGTTATTTAATGGACATGGACATAAAGTCCAGACTTTCAACTTTCATTTGAGGGTTATAGGAGTTCAACTCCTTAACGTGTGCCCATACTGCTTTTAAATGAACCAAATGTAATTAAACAGTTGACTCAAAGGCTATTTCATGGGCAGGTGTGGYCAATACRTTTGTTATGTCATTCACAATTGAGATAAATAAATAAAAAAAGAAGGCCAGGAGTTGATTTGAGGTGTGGAAGATTGCTCTTTGAAAAAAATATGTGGTCAAAGGAGCTCTCCACGTAGGTGAAACAAGCCATCCTTAAGCTGTGAAAACAGTTCTGGAAGACCACTCTTTGGAAACATGAAACCAAGATCAACCTCTAACAGAACGATTGAAAGAAAAAAAGTATGGTGAAGGCGTGGCACAGCTCATGATCCAAAGCTACCACATCATCTGTAAAACATATCATTTCACATCATCAGCTAGGGTCTGATCTCCAGGGATGAGCTTTGGATAAATAGGCTTTGTACGAGCAAGCCTTTTTGAAACTCCAAATGACTACCACAGGAGATTCAGGACAAACGTTCATGAACGAGGGAATGACATTATAGCATAACAAAGTCAACTTTGTGACTGGATCACTAAAATCGTATGTAAATGTCTGCTGTAAGCCTGGACAGTTCTGCATGATGAAATAACCTTTAGTGTTCTAATTCACTATCCTGAAGAGMACTTTTTACTAAAAGACATTTCCATATACCCAAAGTTTAACAAAGAAACAGATAGGAGTGTAAGCACATGGTTGTTCAGTCATGACAACAAAAACATTTAGTACACTCACCTGGAATCCATGGGACCTTCTGTGGTTCTTGGTCTCTACTCTGCTCTTTTGTGGAGACTGAAGCTCTTTTGGGATCCAGACCTGCTCTCCAGCAGTGCTGCCAGACAGTTCATGGGACGCGTTCACAGTTTTTGGGCCTGCTCCGGGAGAAGAAGCTGAGAAGAGAGACTCATTGAAGAAAGCGGACCAGTTCCTTTGTGGATGTGGGGCCGGTTCCTCCTGCTTGAAAGACAGCTCTTCTGGGCTGAGTTTGTTGGTGGACTTTTGGGGCTCAATGGGCTTGGCTACCGGTGCCTCAACAGGTCGTAGCTCCCAAGGATCCTGAGGAGATGCTGTCCACGTGGGGCTGGAGAACCCTACTGCAGTCATTGACGGCAACTTCCAGTTAACATCTCTTTCAGGTGTGGGCTGTAGCCTGACTCCAGACTCGTCAGCTAGCCCCTGAATACCAGACACAGCCAACATGTCTTTACTCGAGGAGGGCTGAGTCTGAGGCGTGAAGGAGTCGATGTCAAGAATGGCAGGTTTGTAAGGCTCCCTCCAGCGTGTGGCAGGATCACTGCGAGGAGGATTAGACAACAGGTCATTTCTGAGCACCGTGTCCAGATCCAGAACTTTGGGTCTGAGGGCCAACGACTCCAGTCTGAGCCTCTCCTGCTCCTCTTTCTTCTGTTTCTCTTTTATCCTCTGTCTTTCTGCTTCTTGCTGTTTGGCAATTTGTCTCATTTTCTCTGCCTCCTCCTTTTCCATCTTCTCCTTCTGTCTGCGTTTCTCAAGCTCTAAATGTTGTTTTTCTCTCTCTGCCTGTTTTTGCTTCTCAAACTCCAGCAGCTGCCTTTTCTCCATTTCTTTCAGACTTTCCAGCTCCTCCTTTCTCTTTCTTTCCTTCTCCTGTTCTCGCCTCAGCCTCTCTGTTTCCATCTGCTGCCTCTCAAAGTCTAGCTGTCTCTGTTTCTCCCTTTCTAACTCCTGCTGTCTTTGTCTCTCCAGCTCTTTCTGCATTTTCCATTCCATCTCCTTTTGTCTCGCTCTCTCTTTTTCAAGCTCTTCCAGTCTCAGCATTTCTTGTTCTAAAGAGATCTGTCTCAGTCTTTCAGCTTCTTTCTCTTCCTTTTCTCTTTGTCTCTGCTTCTCCAACTCAGCCAATTGTTGCATCTCCTTTTCTTTCTGCTTCTGTCTTTGAAACTCTAAAACTTTTTGTCTCTCCATCTCTTTAACTCTCTCCATCTCCTCCATCATCTGTTGCTCCTCGTCCAGCTGTCTCTGCTTCTCTTCCTCCTGTTGTCGTTGCCTCTCCCTTTCAAGCTCTCTTTCTCGTCTTTGTTTCTCCAGCTCCCTCTGCTTCTCTCTCTCAATCTCTTTCAGGCGCTCGATCTCCATCTCTTTTTCTTTTGCCTTCTCTTTTTCAAGTTCTCTCAGTTTAAGCATTTCCTGTTCTAAAGCCATCTGTCTTAGTTTCTCTGCTTCTTTCTCTCTTTGTCTCTGCTTTTCAAACTCAACAAGTTGTTGCATCTCCTTCTCTTTCTGCTTCATCTTCTGAAACTCTAACATTTGTTGTCTCTCCATCTCTTTCATTCTCTCCATCTCCTGCATTAGCTGATTTTTCTGGTCCACCTCTCTCTGTCGCTCTTCTTCCCTTTGCTTCTCCTTTTCACGCTTTTTGTCCCTTTCTGCCTCCCTCTTCATCTCCAGTTCTTCTTGTTTTTCTTTCTGGAGTTGCCGCTGTCTCTCTTTTTCAATTTCTCTCTTTTGTTTTTTCTCCAATTCTTGCAGTCTCTGGTTTTCAAGCTCAGTCTGTTTCTGTCTTTCCAATGCACGCTCCTTTTCCAGTGCTTCCTGCCGTTGCCTTTGAAAGTGTTTTTGCATTTCCAACTCCTTCATTCGTTGTTTTTCCTTTTCAAGCTCTTTAGCTTTGGCCCTGAGCCTTTCTGCCTCACATCTTTGATCTCTCAGCTTGTCAGCTTCTGTTGTTTCTTCCCTGCTTTGCTCATATATCTGTGACCGGAGGTCCACGGACGAGGTAGGGTTCCTCAGCATAAATTCTTCGAATTTCTCATAAGATTGAGAGGTTTTCCCAAAGCTTTCTTCTAGCAAGGGATTCCTTCTCGCTGGAAAAACTTTTCCCTGTGAGCCACTTCTCACACAGAAGTCATCAAAGGGCGTGTCCCCAAACTTTATTCCTCCATCTCCAGGAGAAGACGGCTCCTGCATTTGTCCAGTCAGAGCAAAGTAAGTCGCCCTGGGTTTTGTCTGTTCTTCTGCCGGCTGGACTTTTGATTGTTTAGGGGGTGCAGACACTTCATCCTGGTACCCCACTCTTTGTCTGTCTTGACCTTTATCCAAAGCCACTTGTCCTTCCCGTTCCGATTCCTTTAATGCCCCTACATCAGGACCTGCATCTCCATCGAGATATGAGGTGGTCCACTTATGTAACGCCCCTACTCTGAGATATCGTGGCTGTGTTTCTGGTTTCGGTGCTGTAGCTGCCTGTGTTTGTGCTGGTTCATTCCTGTCCACCGCCGACCTGTTGGCCTCTGAGCGTCTCGATCGGAGGGTCATGGCCTTGTCTTCCCACTGGGCCACAGGGACGCTCTCACTCACTGCCCTGTTCTGTTCCACTGCCTGCATTGTGTCAAACGCATGAGACACCCGGAGAGGACCTGAAGGAGATACAGGTTCCTTGTAGGTGGCAGTGACCAGAGTCCCTATGTCCTCTACTTCTTCCTTTTTACTGAGTGAGTCCTTGGCTGTGTTTGCAGATTCGCCCTGTTCTATCATCAACACCTTTTGCCTCTCCACAACATTATCAAACAAGGACGCCCGCACCGTGAGTGCTTCATCATTTTCCTTGGAAGCAGCCCAGAGCTGCCCAGCCTCAGAACCTTCAGGAGTGGGGACATTCTTTAGCTGCTCTGGAGGGTCTTGAAAATCCAAAAACATCTTGTGGTCATTGGGAGTGACAGCTGACTCTTCAGTCTACAAAAACAAAGACATAGTTAGAAAACACAACATCTCACACACAACATGCATCCAGATTAAACTGAGCTTATCTATTTGATGAACTTTCACTAAATTTAACACCACAGTGCATTTCTTTCAAACACAATCTTGTGAAACAAATATACTTTGAAAATAACTCATTACTCTTTAGAGTTGTGTGGAAAATATCTAAAAGTTTTTTTGTTCCTCTATAAAAACTTGCAGCCTTACTGAGCAGACACTTATCCTGTTGCTAAACTTATTGAAATGATCACTCATTTGAACTGTAGCATACAGTGGTTTATGAAGCAAAAACAATACATTTTTATGAACCAAAGCAAACTGAAAGATAGCTTCAACATTATTAACTACATTAGTAATTCGATTTACCCTTTGAACAGATCATATTTGTCATCATCAGAACAATCAGCAAATGTGACTTGATAACAGAATGAGACACGATAGAAACAATTATCACTTATTTAATCAACTTAGCTTAACAAACATTTACTAATGTGTAGGGCTGCCACAAACGATTATTTTTATAATCGATTAATGAATGATTATTTTTTCGATTAGTCGACTAATCGGATCATATTTTTAATTGAATATAAAACATACAATTTATCGCGCCAGAATGCAGCTGCTATTATATAACCATGGTTAGATTTTAGCTATATGCTAACTAAAAACAATTGCTGTGGAAGGCAAGTTCTGCTCTGCAGATATTGCACAGGTTTCTCTTTTTCTTAAAATGATCCCAGACTTTTGAACTCCGTTGCTGGGTAGCCATGATACCAGAGCCTGTCTGTATAATGTCTTGTGACGTCCACGGCCTACCCCAGTTACCACTACTGTGCATGTGTGTCAAGGACAGAAAGGCAGAGGTGGCAGTGGAAGGTGTCAAAGCAGTTTGGAGAGAAAAACAAAGTAAAGAACAAAAAAAGAAAAAAGAAAACGATTAATCGATTATTAAATTAGTCATCGATTATTTTAATAATTGATTAGTTGTCGACTAATCGACTAATCGTGGCAGCCCTACTAATGTAATATTATTTTTAATTAACTCCTTGTTTCATACAAATTTTTGGCCCAACAGTCCTAAAGACTTTCTGAGGGTCATAATAACGGTTGACTTCCCAGAAAGAGCAGATATAAGAACCGTGTCTTTTATACATTTGCATTCATACAGTTAAAGAAATGTTGTGATAACAGTCAGTAAAAAGTGTGAAAGCATCACGTCTCCTGTGTAACATTCACCACCACTGAAAACAAATGACGTAATTGAAGCTGTGCGTTTGTTTTGTTTAGGGTTTAATGAGCTGAATGAGCTAAAAGAGTTGTGTATTTTAAAGGTAATAAATATCAAATTGCAAAGAGGGTGATGAAGCAAAAACACTTTTGACAGATTGTTTATTAATGCTACAGAGGCTGAGAGAAGAGCATATCTCAGCTAACAAAGCAGACTGCAAATAATGTTAATCTGAATGCAATAATGTTTAACATTTAGAATGCATGCATACGGTTTATTTTTCAGGCATTGCTGCCTACTGCTACAAAACCCTGCTTTCACAATTCATTTGGATCCAGTCAAGAGCTGATGACTGGTGGAAATCTGTCGTTCTGAGCTTTAATGAGAATTCATTTACTAAAAAATCTGAAAGAATAAAGAAATGTTTCAGGACACCTATAATTGTTTGAAGACTTATTTTAAATGAATAAACACTATTAGTCATCCATCTGTAACCCTACAGAAAAACGCTTTTGCTTTTGAACTCAATAAATAGTAAAATGTCTTGCTCTTTCTATCCAATTCAGGCTGATTACTGTGATTTTTTGATCATATTTTCTGAAACTTTGCTTGATCCGTTTCCTGTTTGCTTGCACTGTATACAAATGTATTTCTACTTTAGCACACAGGCCAGTGTAGAGCCTATACTTCATATCTGTAATTATTTAATTTTGGAAAAGTAAAACTTTTTCAGCTCCTCAGGTTATTGTTTAAAATATAATTTTAAATAGGACAGGTGATGGGTGAGAGTTCACCTTCTAAGATCAATTACGTATGTTTCTGAGTGAACCAATCACACACTGTAATGTGCAAATAAAGCTCTTACGATCACACACAAGTTAAACATGTTCTATAAAAGAAGCTAAATAAAATGTCAGCACACAGTTCATGCAGGGTAAAAATAAAAACCCTTTTGGAAGAACCTCTTGTAAGAACTGTGAGAAGGTTCTTGCGGTCTGAAAGGACCGTGTATGATGACCTCAATTGTTTGGGTGTGGTGCTGAAGCACCAATCAAAGCCTTATTGAAAGGATTTGTTTTCATGCGTCTGTTCTTTGGGTGTTTTATTACCGAGAACCACAGGGGATGATTTATTCTAGATGTCTCCGGTTTCACAACTTTGTACATTTGACTTTGATTTTATTTATTTTTTTCCTAGAATATCTTTTTTTTTTACCATGACCCTAAAAGGCTAAACAACCTGATAAAGAGGGCTGGTTCTGTTCTGGGGACGACTGTGGAATCTCTGGAGATGATGGTGCAAAGAAGGATTTTACATGAAATCAAGAACATTGTGGACAACCCTGACCATCCTCTTCATCAGACTGTCATAGAAAGACAAAGTGTCTTCAGTCGGAGGCTTCTTCAACTTCGCTGTAATACAGACCGCTACAGAAGATCTTTCCTGCCCACAGCCATCAGCATCTACAATAATTCTTTAGTTAAATGAGTTACAACAACACCTAATTTCCTTTTGGGATCAATAAAGTATTTTTGAATTGAATTGAATTGAATTGAATTGAATTGAATTGAATTGAATTGACCTAGGCTTTCTTTGGTTTACATTGACAGTGCACATTAATCACAATAATATTGTCAGGGTTCAACAAATACCACTGCCTGACTGCCCGGGGCATTTAAAACACAAACTCAGGCAGGTGGATGTGTCCCAGTCCCCAGCCAAACCAAGCATGTAAACTATTTATTTTATTTTTTTATGGCCATTTAATTGAAAAATTATGGAAATAAATGAAGAAACTTAGCCTTTTAAAAAACATAGCAGGGATGTGTGTCTGTGCTTTATTTTTTTGTGGAGAACTCTCGTGTGACAGCAAGTTACTTCAAATTTTGTCTCAAAGGAATTTTTAAAACTAAACTGTTTTCCCATCAAGCCAAAGATCTAAAAAATAATTAGATGTTCAACCTGCATCCTTTTTAGAAAAAAAGCAAGGTTTGTGGTCATGAGTGGCCTGAAAAATGCCATGTTTTCAATTTTGGCTGGCCTGAATACACTGTATAAACGTTTTTTAACCAAAACCCACTGAAGGTTGAACAAAACTTTCAGTGCTTTCTTTTGTTATGATACACACTGGTTTTTAAGAAACTCTAACACATATTTTATGGTTTTTTTGTTTGTTTGTTTTTGTTGGGGTTTTTTTTTGTTGTTGTTGTTCTGTGCTATAAAACCAGCAACCTCTGTAGCACCAGTGCTATCCACCATATTTTTGAACATGGAAGTAAAAATGGGTCCAATTTCTGTTCCTTTGTGCGGCACTTCTGTTTCACCGCTTCCATGGTCTAACTAATGACAGTTTAACTAAATTGGTGAACTATGTTGTAGGAACATTTCCAAAAATCGRTGAACAATCGAGGTGGTAAMTCAGTGCCAGACCCTCAAACTATTCTCCAGTGGGCCAAAGATAGAAAAAAAGCCTCATAACATACAAGGACATTTTTAACTGTTGTGTTGTTACTTGGTGTGGATGGGTCTACATTACAATGTGCAATTACACGTACATAAAAAGTGTAAATCTCATTAAAAGATAAGTTTCTAAGGCAGTAAGCCATWACATGTCTTCTCAGTGTCYTTCTGATTTGTCTACTAAAAACAGACTAAACTCAAATAAAACCTCATTGTAGAACTATTAGGYCCATGCTTACCCCTGTCTGAGGGTCTTTGCTGATTCCCATGTGGTCTGCAGCCTCAGTGACTGAAACGAGGTCTGGTGACCTCTCAGATGAAAACCTGATGAATACATATCACACAAGTCAAAAACCATGCATGACAATGTCGCTGGAGCACGYAGACAATGAACCAAAGCTGTGAGGCATCAGTGAGGTTCTTACCTTTTAGTAAGATCAAGAGGTAAGGGGCGGGGCTTCGGTGTTGGCTTTAAGACAGGACTCTGAGTCGGTGTTGCATCCTCAGTCAGTTGCTTGATYAGCTGTTTAACACCCACTGATGGTTCTGCTGGTTCAGAACCCGGCTGCACTGGAGAGGGAAGATCTTGACCTGAAGCACCCACCCCCAGAGGGGACGATGAATCAAGGAAATGACTAACATGTGACTTGATGCCAGCATCWTTTACAGTAGTTTCTTCAGCTTTGTAATCATTTTGGTCAAGGACAGATGGAATGGCTACACCTCCAGTGCTTTCAGGTGTGGAGATGTTCGGACTTTTATCTTGCTCTTTCTCCGGTGGAGGTGCCTTCTCTGTTGGAGTGTTTTCCTTTGTATTTTCTTTGGGACTTTTACGATGCAGAGACAGACCAATCGACTCAAACTTGGACGTCAGGTCTGCCGAAAGGGGTCGTCTCCCGGTCCAACGAGGAGCAGGGTCTGGAGTTTCTGTCTTAGTTGGAGTGTCAGAGAAAATGGCTGAAACAGGTCTGGGCCTCGGGCTTCGGGGCTGGGGTCGCAGTATCACAGATCCTTCTGGCTGAACTTTGTCTTTCTTCTCCTCCTCTTCCTCTTCCTTTCCTACCTCAAACAGAGAACCCATGGACTTAGCTCTTGTTACGGAGGTTCCACCTTTATTTGGTCCATTCTGCTTACTCCCGTGTTGCTTTTCAGTAGTTCCAGACCACTCTGTTGGTGAAAGTGTTTTAAGGCTCTTGGAATAGGCCAAGCTTGATGCAGCAGGTTTCTGCCGCTCAYCTGGCACAGGACGGGTGGGTTTACTGGGTTCTGCAAGGTCAATGGGAGGGGCTGGTTTAAAGGGCTGGACTACTGGTTTGATTGTCTGTCCTGTGTTCAACTTATTAGACGTTCTAAAGGAAGTAGAGGCAGGGCGGTTAGGGTTAGTCYACACTGGTTTCGGTGATGGTTTTGGCGTATTTGGCGGTTCTGGCTTACATCCAGCAAGGCGTGTCGACTCTGGTCGGGGTTTGGTTTGGGGTTTAGGAGCCAATATGGGTTTAATAGTGGGATTTTTCTCCACAGCAAATGGTTTGGGAGTGAGTCGTGGCTTGGGGCTCGGAGCAGGTTTGTCAGCTTCTGATACAATGATATGGGATTCACTGATAGAAGGGATGTCACTGAGGCTTTTGTTCCTGGAGTCAGTCAGAGGACTCAGGTAGGGTCGTCCACCAGCCACTGTCCTCCCAACCTCCCCAGTTTGAACCTCTACCTGAGCAGCCATCCTGAAAAAAAAAAAAAAAAAAAAAAAAAACCCTGTAAATATGTCTATGAAAAACCACTGATTATATTATAATATGTAATTATATTATCTGTCTTAGAGGAAAAACTACTTGTAACACATTTTAAAATAAGTCTGGCACAGATTTGTATCCCCTTTTTGGCATTACGAGAGAACAAACTAACCTAATTGTATATAAATTTTACTTKGCAGCATTAGAGTCAAAATCTGTCACACCGTGTCTGTAATAAACTTAACTATGACTTCAAGCAACATTAGTTTTATTGTCTTAACCATGACAAGTTTCTTTTACTTCAACTTTAAAATGAAAATTTTAGAACAAAAACGTTAACTCTAAAATGCTGAATTTAATCATTAAAAGAATTTTTTTACTGACTGCTTCTGTCAGTCAGAAGTACTGATTTCCTCATTGTGACTCAAACCTCTAAATATACAGAACGTTTGTCTAATAACTTTGGTTCAGGTCCATTAAACATGAATTGTTCTAAAATTCAACAGCTTGGAAAACTAAATGTAGGAAATTAATGAATGAAGTTATTATTCACACTGATTACCTTTTTATGAAATGAACACATGACTCCATTTGATTTAAAAAAAAGAACTGTGTTGTGGTGAGCTCAAGTAATGTGCTGTAGGGCTGCACAATATTATGAAAACCTGTGATGTGCGATAACAGTGCTTAATATTACAATGACGATATGACTTGCGATAAATGAAAAAAAATTTTTAATTCAGTGTTGATGTCTTTCTGCTCTGGGTTCAYAGCACAAAACAAACTAACACTTCATTTATACAACATGAAGGAGTGATTATGATTTGATGTGGTATCTCTGGTCCATTTTGTTTATCAGACTGATGCTGATGAAACACAAATACCAAACCAAAGTGTGCCAACCATTTATTGCAATTTATGCTTTTTTTTTGCGATCTGCTTCTTGCACAGGCCGTTATTGTGACGATGATAAATTGGGGATTTATTGTGCAGCCCTATTTGATACATTCAAGAGTACTTACTTTATTTTTACAATTATTTAAGCACACAAATTGTACTTGTAACTGTTTTGGTAGGGTGTCAGGTCATCTTTATGCAATTTATGTGTAATGTGTTTATCGTGTGTGTGCTTTATGTTTTTGTGTAATGTATGGAACAGAGCTCCTGTAATCCAAAGCAATAGAGAGACTAAGAAAACGTACTTTGACTTTTTGACTTTAAATGTTTTAAAGTTAACCTGGACTTTCCTTAAAACACGAACTGTGACAATGAGGTAACTACAGACTGAGAGGTGAATTCATTAGCCTTGTGTATCACGGAGGCGTTGCACGCCTCAACTTTATRGCAATCTTTTAGGAGGAGATCTAAAACATCATATCTAATTCTTATTTATCAAGTCAACTTGTAACTGTGCATGACTAACTTGAAATACTGGTGTAGTGGTAATCACAACTCCTTATCTTGGCAGCATCTCCCACAATAAGGAAGTGTGGACAGTTGTACAATGTCACGTTACATTTCTTGTTGTAATTCAGGCATGTTAGTTTTACATGTTGACTGGAAGATTACACAGAAAACCTTTATCAGACTGCAAATACAGACACCATTTTATCTTTAATAAACTTTTGTTTCCTTGAACCTTATTCTGTTCAAAGCTCAATGGAAATTAAGTCACAAAGTCCTTTCGACACACYGTGATAATCACCTGTGGTCGCAATAAAGACAGAAATTAACTTGTGTCCTCCTTCGCTGGCCCTTTAAGAGGCTTGCTCACATCTGATAATGCTTCCCACATGTTGCTGTGTTGAGTTGCTTTGTTACACAGAGCAGCCAAGTTCTTTTAGAACAAACTGCAACAAACAATCCTAGCGTCGGCGTGTCCTACCTGACCAGAAGTCAACCGTCTGCTGCAGAGCTTGGGCTTTTGTTGAAAGCAAGCCGCGATGTCATATCACACAGGAGGAACGAGTCGAAGAAGCCTAGAAGAAATACACCACGAATCAAAAAAGCGCACAAGCTTTTCATTTGTAAAGAGAGCAAGACTGTAGAGGAAAAAATCACTGCAGTCTAACAAAAAAGGCAGCATCACTGTGGTGATCTCACACCATCCTACCAAAGCACATAGATGATAACATGGCCACTGACACAGACTTGAGTAAACAGAAAGTCACGCCCATACACTGGAGCTGACCAAGGCATACGTGCAGATGTAAAATACAACAAAATGCTCCAGGAAATTCATTAACCCTGCGCTGCTGTGCTTTCACTTTGTAGATTTGAACCAAGGGTCACGGCTGATTTTCCACGATTCACTCCCTTCAACAGGATATCTATGTAAATTCAATCTGTGAACGTTGGAACTATGTGCTATAAAACACTCCTGCCTGCTGTCCTTTTACGTAAGAAACGAAAGATAAGCACACAAGARGATGCTGAAAAAGCATAAATGTAGTCGACAAAAATTTAAAAAATGAAAGAAAAAAAATGCAATGTTAGAAAAAGGGGACCTTTTCGTGCTGACAGGAAACGCCTCTGCCAAGATGGAATGTCAAACATTCACAGGGATGGTGGGTCCAGCTGCACAGCAGGGWTTAGGGAAGTATCTGCCTTATATAGGCTTAAACATTGGAGTAAGTATCCTACATAAGTCATAACTAACACCATCAACAACTAAACATGATACAAATCTGTTCATTTTTGTTGCAGCAACGGAAAGGATAAACTAATGTGCTTTTATTTGGAAAGTTACAGACAAGTTTATTTGATTTTAACCATTTGTGTAAATGATTAGGTCCCAATGTAACACTGCACACAAGTCTGTTGTGTTTTGACAGCAAAATTTACCAAGTCTAACCTGGCTCAGCCGGTTCTACAAAGGTTACACAAGGAATTTCCCTTACAACTTCACCCCAGCCAATCTATTACCATTTATCTCAAGATATTTCCCTTTAATAACACTGACCTACCATCATGCACTTTACAAAATGAAAACAACTCAAGTTTGCATCTGACATCAAAAAGGACTTAACCAGTGTTTAGCTTGCAAGTCATGCTTCTCTGTACTAATWTAATCATGAATAATTATATCAAAAATAAAAGGAATACAACTGTAAATGTTGACCTCAAAACTAGATTTTGCTTYGTTTTCAGATGTTATAGCTGCCTACACACAAGGACACAATGAAAATAAAATTATTTAGAGTAAAAACTATTAAATTGTGGGATGCCCAAACATATGAACAGCAGGGTTTTAACTGAATAAATAACACGTGTCTGCTTTTTATCCTTTAATAAGTTACAACAACTTTACAACAAAGCTGCTCTAGATTGTGAATTTCAACAAGTGTTYCCTCTTCCTCGTTTCAACTACCTGACAGTGGACAGGGTTCGGTCCAGTTTAGCCAAACATAAAGTTGGCCTGCCCAGAACCAAACAGCACCTTACCGAGAAAACCGTGAACGTGATGTATTCAGAGAAAACCTCCATCCCGGGCTGTTTGATAACTTTACTGACTTAAAAACAAGAGGAAACAAACGCTTTAACTACTAGTTGTTCGCTAGCAACCGTGAGCTAACTACTCAAGAAGTAACAAAATGGAAACACCGACTGAACCTGTCTTTTCTGCTGGCTGTTTGATCCACTGTGTGGYGATAACTTACCAAACGGCGAAGTCGGGATTTTCCTCGCCTCTCTCGTCGAAACAACTCCAAACTCTGGTATGTCCAACAAACTCAGCGCGATAATTGCAAGTCGTGACACTTAGTTAACACGGAGGCTAGCGGAGTGGCTAAGTTAGCAGGTTTACTTAGCCAGGCAAACGACTGTCTATCCCGTCTCAGGTTGCAATGTTGTTGACAGGATAGAGTAGACAGCGCTGAGCAGCGAGGAAGCAGTCTGACTGGTTAGCTGCCACAGTGCAGTCAGCTGAACAGGCAGAACATGTAACTTCCGGAAAATACTTTCAAAATTAAATTTAATATGAGTTAAATTCTGTTTTATACTTATTACTTAGTCTTTATTTGACATARACACAAATATAAAACTTTAAAATGAATATTAATTTGTAAAATATTATTTACAAAGTCAATACGAACCACAAGTCATGTCACTTAAATAATATTGTGACAATACAGACTCAACTTCCGGTTTCTATTGTGCTCAKTATAAACAACTTCATGGACCTTAACCAAATAGGATATTTGACTGGTCAGAATRATCCCACCTAAGCAAATTAAAATAGGTAGTTTTACAGACATGAACTCATAAAGGATTAACATCTTAAATTAGTAATTTACGTCCAGATTAATGTACCTAAGCATAACATACATAAACATTGATTTGTGAGTGAAATGYACGTGTTTGCTACACAATAACTAGTGAGGTCGGTACTGATTACTAGTTTTGTSTCTGAAAACCTTTCCTTAACATGTCTTCATAAAGCAGGTTTATCAAAACGGCCCTCATGTGGAGCAGAGACAGTACTGCATCAATAAGTGGTCTTTAATTTATTGTGACTTCAGGAGTTAAATAAGCAACGGCTCAGTCATTTTATTGTGCAMAAATCTTTATTCATAACATACTAACTTATGTTTTTAGCCCATAAACCTGCTAAAAAATATAGGTAAATTAAAGAATCCTCAAATAAATCCAATTTTTTTTAAGTTTCAACCTTAAAAATCACCCTTCAGCTTCACACATTTTCAACTCAGAAATAAAAGGGAAACTTTTAAAGTAGTTCAACATTTGAAATCAAACAAATGAAACGGGACAAACTGAAWGAAAAGAAGGCGGGTGTTTCAGGTTTGACCAAGCAGAATATGTTCTGTAGAGCCTACAGAATCTATCTTTTCGTACAATACTGTTACTTGCCTGTWTTACATGTTTTCTTGTAGAATTCTCAAAATACTACAATTCTGATTTTTGCGATCTTCAAAATTTGGCGTCCTGAAGGGCTAACAGCTTTAAGTAGRTACCTGTAATGAACACTGAAAAATGGATGTCAAGTTTACAGACTGATGCTGTCTGAATGCTGAGTGTTTGGAAAGTTTCAGAGCTGCAACACATTACAGCTGGCTGACTGTTTCTCCCTGCCTGAAGCACCAAAACATTTCCCCCCCAACAATAATGGGTCCTAGATGCAATGCAGTCYAATTATGGAAACGATGTCTCTTGACAGTCATGAAAGCCTAAAGTATGTTGAATATCAGAGTGAACAACTTGTTATAACTTTTTACTTTGCATCTGAACTACATGTCACTCATAAGGCTTTCATTGACAAGAGGATGATACAACTCTGTCCTAGCACAACATGAAACTAATGTAAATGAAAGTGAGGGGAGAGCAGCAAAACAAACATCAACCCTGTGAAGCAATGTCTAAAGCAGCGTAAACTTTGGCTACACACTGAAACCTAATTCCATAGTTCCAACAAAATCATCATGGAAGAAAAAGAAAAAAAAAACAAAGCAGCTGGAAGCTTATGATCCAGTGAAGTTTAGTTGGGTCTACTTTGTGTGAACCATGGATGTGCTGAACAGAAGCGTCTGCTTCTTCTTCTTCTTCTTTCCTCCCTTTTCATCTGAAAGAAAGCACGCAGCGATGAGTGCAACTGGAGCCATTTAATGGCCTAAACATGAAAAATGATTCTCAGAGTGCCAGACCTGGTTCGACCACGTGTTGTGGTGAGGAAGCAGGACCGTTGTCCAGCTGCAGAAGTGCCTTCTCAAAAGCCTGACTGAAAGAATTTTGAAAGCTGGGCACGGGGACACGATCTGAGCCGTCACTCTCACCGTCACTGTCTGCTGCTGGAGGGGCTAACAGCTTATCTGCAAGAGAGACCAGCTGAAAATCTGAAGTCTGAAACATTTTGTAAAAAGTGTTTTAAAAAGGAAATGCACAATGATGTGTCAAGTGTGGATTTCACTATCACACTTTCTAATAATGACTTCTAATAGTTCAGGTATATAAGGATGGAAACTACACAGAAATCAAAATAAAAACCCAGGACTGTTTTGCTGTGAGGAATCAGTGCTAACCACTCATCCATCATGGTGCCTTCAATTTTTTATGTAATGTTTATTTTCCATGTATTTGCAATAATATTGTTTAGTTTGACATAAGACATCTGAAAGCTACCACCAAAGCTGCCATTAAAAGTCTGAAGCTGCTCTATTTCATCCTTTGTTACAGAGAAATAATTATGATTGATGAGTATAAAACAAGCATTAAATACAGAGAACACAAACATATATTTACATTTATATTGCTTCAAAAGGATGGCAAAAAAATATATATTTCTAAATATTTTTTCCTGATTTGAGATCTGGTGACATTTAGAACAGTTTCAGGGCTGCAGGTGGTATTTAATTGGTGCGACATCTAAAGCAGAATGTGGCTCTCATTACTGAAATGCTTATTTACATATTGTACCCCAACCACAACCTTTCTAGACTAAATTCAAACCACATTTTTCATAGCGCTGATTTTAAACAGCCGACCTGCATCATTCCTACAGGCCCTTTACATCAACAATATTTTAAGTAGGGCTGCAACTAACGATTATTTTAATAATCGATTAATCTGTTATTTTTTCGATTAATCAGCCAAATCATTAAAACGCTTAATTA